TAATAATAGACAGAGAGTCAAATAATGAGTGAATTCCCATTCACAATTGCTGCAAAGAGAATAAAATACCTAGGAATACAATTTACAAGGGATGTGAAGGACCTCTTCAAGGAGAACTACAAATCACTGGTCAAGGAAATAAGAAAGGCCACAAACAAATGGTAAAACATTCCATGTTCATGGATAGGGAGAATCAATATTGTAAAAATGGCCATACAGCCCAAAGTAATTTATAAATTCAATGCTATCCCCATCACGCTACCTGACTTCAAACTGTACTACAAAGCTACAATAATGAAAATAGCATGGTACTGGTACCAAAACATATATATGGACTAATGGAACAGAACAGAGGCCTCAGAAATAACGCCACACATCTATAACCATCTGATCTTTGACAAACCAGACAAAAACAAAGAATGGGGAAAGAAATGATTCCCTATTTAGTAAATGGTGTTGAGAAAAGTCCTAGCTATATTTGGAAAACTGAAACTGGACCCCTTCCTTATACCTTATACAAAAATTAACTCAAGGTGGATTAAAGACTTAAATGCAAAACCTAAAACCATAAAAACCCTAGAAGAAAACCTAGACAATACCATTCAGGACAAAGGCATGGGCAAAGACTTTATGACTAAAACACCGAAAGCAATGGCAACAAAAGCAAAAACTGACAAATTGGATCTAATTAAACTAAAGACCTTCTTGGGGAGAAATGAAAGAATGCTGTTTTCTTTATTTTTATTTATTTATTTATTTTTGAGATGGAGTCTCGTGCTGTTGCCCAGGCTGGAGTGAAGTAGCATGATCTCAGCTCACTGTAACCTCTGCCTCCCGGGTTCAAGCAATTCTCCTGCTTCAGCCTCCTGAGTAGCTGGGGCTATAAGCATGTATCACTGTGCCCAGCTAATTTTTTTTTTTTTTTTAATAGAGACAGGATTTCACCATGTTAGTCAGGACAGTCTTGATCTCCTGACCTTGTGATCCACCCACCTCAGCCTCCCAAAGTGCTGGGATTACAGGCATAAACCTCCATGCCTGGCCTTGTTTTTTTTTGTTGTTTTGTTTTGTTTTTTAAGAATCATTTAAACACCAGAACTCAAGAGTGAAAACATGAAAGAAGTCTGTTTATATTTTAGGAAATATATATACTTCTACAACCAAACCTAGTAGAGTATCTGACAAAAAAAACCATACAGGTCTCTCCTAGCTCTTTTTTTTTTTTTTTTTTATTTGTTTTGAGACGGAGTTTCACTCTTGTTACCCAGGCTGGAGTGCAATGGCGCGATCTCGGCTCACCGCAGCCTCCGCCTCCCGGGTTCAGGCAATTCTCCTGCCTCAATCTCCTGAGTCGCTGGGATTACAGGCACGCGCCACCATGCCCAGCTAATGTTTTGTATTTTTAGTAGAGACGGGGTTTCACCATGTTGACCAGGATGGTCTCGATCTCTTGAACTCGTGATCCACCCGCCTCGGCCTCCCAAAGTGCTGGGATTACAGGCTTGAGCCACCGCGCCCGGCCTCTCCTAGCTCTTTATATGAACTCAGTTGCTGGTGAGTGGGGAGAGAATTCACCCATATGTGTACATGCTTTCTGAATAATAATAATGATAATGGTAATTGGCATTTATTAAGCTCTTACTATGTTCCAAACACTATATTTGCATGATATCTTTGAATGCTTATAATATCCTAGAAGGTAGGTGCTATATTGTTTCCAATTTATGGATAAGAAAACTGAACCACAGAGAAGTTAAGTGACTTACCCAAAGTCACACAGCAACAAAGACAAAATTCAAAATAAGACAGACTTATTTCATAGCCTGGTATTCTTTACCTGTAAGCCATACTGGGTTGTATAGTAATTGCTGAAGGAACAAATTTCAAAGCCTTCCTTGTAGATAATCTTTCTTTCTATTCTTACAAAGGATATAAACTGTAAGAACATTTATGGCACATTGAATTAGGTCAGTAGTTCAAGTGAAAGAGTTTCTCATTAACTATTTAAAGCTATTCATTTTTATTAGGAGGACCAGGGCTAGATTCAGGATAAACCTCTATTTCATTCAATTCAACTTAGCCCAATTTAGTTCATGTTATAGAATATACATTACATGCTGGGTTTAAGGAGGGAAAACTGTAATTGTAATTAGAAAGGTATTACCTCTGCTTTCTAGGAACACAGAATCACTTGTGGGATTAAGAGATAAGGACAGCAAGTAGACCAAACTGTAAGCTCAGGTTCAAGCTGGCAAAGGCTGGTTGCCACAGTGCTGTGTCTCAGGTAGGGTAGAAGTGTGAAATGGACAGTTAAAAGTAAGAAGACCCAAGGTTACCCTCAAGAAGGAAAGCTTGAGGGTAACCTTGGGTCTTTTTACCATTCCCAGCCCTAGCAGGCCATAGGCTCAACAAATACTTGTCAAATGAATGATTAAGATCCCTTAAGGTACTAAGTAGAATATGAAAACAATTTGTGAAGGAGAAAGCATTTGAAGTGGATACTTTTAAGTTTTAGGGGAGAAGAGTGTTCCATTCTGAGGCTGCAGGACATGCAAAGGGCAGACGCTTAACATGAAAATGCTGGAAATCATGATGGTAGAAGCCTGCTGAATGATGTGGAATAAAGAAGTGTGTGATAATGATTATGATTTGACTAACATCTATTATATATCTCCGTTATGCCAGCTATTTTCAAGGGCTTAATCTTATTTACCCTCCAGAAATGCCGTATTGGTGGTAGACATACAGGTGCAACCTTGTTCTCCCTTCAAAGGGAAAGTGCTTCCCAACTGTGAGGGGTGTGGTCAGCACACAGCCTCTATTCAGCAATCAGCTCCTTTAGAGTTGGCCTCAGCTACAGAGAGGCACCTGGCCCATCATCATGCTCTTTTTAGGGAAAGCCCACATCCCATCATTGTGTGAGGAAGCGATATAAGGCCAGGTCATTCTGACCAACATGGACGGACTCTATTGGGTTGTGTTTGCTCCCGATCTCCCCCCAGGGTTGGCTATGGCGCTGTTAGGCTTTCATTGCTCCCCGACCTTCCCATCACAACTCAATTCCTAATCAACATCTCACTTGGTTTAGAGTCTGCTTCCAGAAAACCTAATCTTCAAGCCCGTTAATCTCCCACATTGGCAGACTGGAAACTGGGGCACTGAGAGACGGGGCATTTCCCCAAGGCCACACAGCTAGGGAATAGCAGAGCCAGGTTTTAAATTAAGATTCTTTTAACCTCTAATTGAGGGTTCTCTTCAGAGCCCCACCCTGGCTACAGGACCAACCTTACACTATTTAACCAAAGATGCATTCTCGCACATGCAACCCGAATCCCTCCACTGTCAGCACAAATAGATGTTTTCCATCAGGAAAGCTGAGTCATCTGTGCCCCCTAGAGGAGGCCAAGACTCTAAGTCATCTGTGTCCACTCTTGGCTCAACTACTCCTATCACTCTTTCAAGTCTCAACTCCCAAATCAAAATTAAGTTTCCTGGTTAGAAGCTTTCGCAGTCCCCATCACAGCACTGGCCACAATCTGAGATCACATGCTTATTTTCCCCTGTTTGTTTGTTCTATTAGTCTGTAACTTCAGGAGGGCGTGGGTTATGTTTGTTGAGTTCACCACTAACTTCCTAGCACTCCCCCATACTGTTTGGGTGTGGAAGGAGCTAAATATACATTTGTTAAAGGGGTGAGTTAAGTGTGTATGATAAATACTGGGTACTTAGTCAAAATTATTTCTAGTTTTCTTCTCTCATGGAACTATATAAGATATTCACGGCCGGGCGCAGTGGCCATGCCACTAATCCCAGCACTTTGGGAGGCCGAGGTGGGTGGATCACGAGGTCAAGAGATGGAGACCATCCTGGCCAACGTGGTGAAACCCGTCTCTACCAAAAATACAAAAATTAGCCGGGCGTGGTGGCACGCACCTGTAGTCCCAGCTCCTCAGGAGGCTGAGGCGGAAGAATCGCTTGAACCCAGGAGGCCGAGGTTGCAGTGAGCCAAAATTGCACCACTGCACTCCAGCCTGGTGACAGAGCAAGACTCCCTCAAAAAAAAAAAAAAAAAGATATTCACAAAAATATTATTGTATTATGGCAGATATTAATTATTATGATTATGATGGTTTTTAGGCTCACACCATGGGAGGTGTGGTCAGCACACAGCCTGTGTTCAGCTCTCAACTCCTTCAGAGTTGGCCTCTGCTACAGAGAGGCACCTGGCCCATCATCATGCCCTTTTCAGGGAAAGTCCATGTCCCATCAGTGAGTGAGGAAGAGATATGGAGGCCAGATATATATGTGACCAAATTCAGTGGTCGGAAATTAATAACTTACGCAGAAACTCTCCCTATATTTTTTGCTGAGGTCATGTTTAATTTTATTCTGGAGAACTCTGAATCCTAAGACAATGCTGACATTTCCCAAGAATGGGAATTCCATGAGCTTTCTCAGATGGCTGCCTGGATGTCTGGAAACCCCGTGAAGGTGATCTCTGTCATTTTATCTGCTTAGATATTTGATTCATAAACTCATTCTTTAAAACCAAAGTCATGGGTGGCACCCTCTGACCTCGTTAAAGCTCATAGATCTCCCTTAAGTGAAGATTTTTCTTCTTGAAATGTGGCAGAGGTGTGAAATATTGAAGAGGTGTTCTCTCAAACATTTGCCCTACAAACTCACACAATAGAAAACCAGAGTCAGGCATTTCCGAAATGGGTCACTTCTCAGGAAGACTGTTTCAACTTCACTCTATATTATGAAGATTTTTTTTTTTTTTGAGACAGAGTCTTGCTCTATCACCCAGGCTGGAGTGCAGTCGTGTAATCTTGGCTCATTGCAACCTCCTTCTCCCTGATTCAAGCAATTCTCCTGCCTCAGCCTCCTGTGTAGCTGGGACTATAGGCGCATACCACCACACCTGGCTAATTTTTTGTATTTTTAGTAGAGATGGGGTTTCACTGTGTTAGCCAGGATAGTCTCAATCTCCTGACCTCGTGATCCACCCGCCTCAGCCTTCCAAAATACTGGGATTACTGTACAGGCATGTGCCAACATGCCCCACTGAAGATTTTATAGATTTCAGTTACGCAGACTTTTTAGCTTTTACTTTTTCAGACTAGCCCGCCTTGTTTTTTTATAATTTTAATTGTATTCTTCAATATAAAGTTGATATATTGACAACACAGAAAATATTGAAAAGAGAGAAAGGAAAAAAAGTCATATTTTCAGACATCATACCTGTTTCCATTTGTGAGTTTTTCTGGTGTATAGAGACTTTAAAGTTCAAGTGGGAGGGAAAAGGTTTGTTGAAGGCTCCTTCTTCTAGAGTTGCTCTGAAACCAAATTTAAACTTACCTTGAACAGTTGCAACTTAGAATTAGAAAGCTCAGTCTTTAGGCTCTGTTGTCTAGTATCTGTGTGTTTCTCCAATTTACTTAACCTCTGAGTCCAGTTTTTTCTTTTGTAAGATAGGAATAATAATTCCTGCAAGTGACCTAGTAGGAATGTATTAGAGGATTAAGTGAGAAATGGCAAAATCCCTTCTGACCCCCAATAAACATAAGCTACTCTTATTACTGATCTTTTTTGGATCTTTTCTGAACACTGTTGTGGCAATGCTGTTGGTATCCACGCCCCTCATCTTCCCTGGAGCCTTGTTATTGTAGTGCCCACAGGCCCATCTCTGATTACCAGCATTTTCCACTCTTTGCCCAAGGGCTTATTCTGACAGCCAGCTTCTGGTATATGCTCACAAAAACAGGCTGAAATGCCAGAGAATTCGAATGCCCGGATCGGTCTACAACCAATGCCTGAAGGGAGCTGATACATAAATACCTTGGCTGCCCTGTCCACCAGATGGGATTACACTGAGGCTTATAGTCTGCATTGGATCTCAGTTTCCCTAGAGCTATTAAGCTGCAGGTGCCCACAGTGACAACTAGCTCAATTATACACCACACCATTTTTGGCTTCCTGAATCGTGTACTGGCTTTATTCCATTCAATTTTCTGATTTACTTCTCCACTTTCTAACTGGTATTTCCTGGAATTACCTTTCCATTAAGTTGCTAACAGGACTTGATGTTAGGCCAGTTGAAACAGAGGCAGGAGTAGGGAAGACACGCACCAAAGCATGGCCCCTGAGTTTCCCATGTGAACAACTGGATGGGATGGTCATACCATGAAGTGTAATTGATAAGATGCATAGAGCAGTTTCTGTGGCAAGATCAATATTATATTCTGTTGGACATATTAATTTTGAGATGCCCCTGAAACATGCAACAGGAGGTTTCCAGCATGTCTAGAAGTGCATGCATGTCTAGAAGTGCATGCATGTCTAGATAATGGTTGGTATGAACATGCAGGTGGACCTGGGAGAAGCCAGAGTGAAAACCAGGTATAATCCAAATGAGTCAGTGCAGCAAAAGTTATGCATAATCTACTCCAAAAGAGAAAAAAATCTAAAGATAGTAAAGACATCACTGACCATCGAGCAGTAGCAGTAATAGTTCTTGTTTTTCCTCTTGCCTCTTTGTCCTCCTCTTCCTGTTTCCCCCGTTTCCTTCCTTCTCTTTCTCCTCTTCTTGTTTCTCCTTCTTTTTCTCTCTTCCTTCAAAACGTATTTTACATTAATCTTTAGGTTGTTTCTTTTATTTTGAGCACAACCTCAACCTGTAAGAGCTTCCATGAAAGGAATGATTCTAATCTTTTAAATTGTGCTGATTCTTTGAAGGGTTGTCATGTCAGGTAAGAGTTACATTGGTATCCGTTTTATCTTTGTTTCTTTTTTTGATTTGATAGAGAAGTGAGGAAAAGAACAAGATATTATGTAGATTATTTTTCTTCTGGTCTTTGGAGCAAGCCAAGACCAGAAGTACAGAAATCAGTAACAACAATATTTGGAGTGAGCAATGTGTGAGCTGACTACGTACAGCCCTTTTTTAAAGGGAAAGAGTCAACAAAATAGAGAGTCAGCAAGTTGGAAGGGGAAGAAAAAACAAACTAAAACAAAACAAAAATGCTAAGCAGAAGAGCCAAGTATAATAGAAGATGAGTGACAGCTAATTAACACTTTCCATTGATTTTATAGAAGACAGAATTTCTATATAAAAAATGTGGAAATTTGCAATTAAGTAGAACAGATTGGAAGGAGAAGAGAGAGAAAGAGAGTGAGAGAGAGACAGAGACAGAGATAGAGCAAGACAGAGAGAAACAGAGTAATAGGGTAGGAACATTGAGAAATCAATACCATCCTGAAATTTGCCTGTCAGTAAAATTGAAGTGGGCCTCTCCACAGTTTGTTTGAACTTTCTCACAACATGGTGGCTGGGTTTCAAGAACAAGCATACCAAGAGAACCAGATAAAAGCTGCATTGCCTTTTGTGACCTTGGCTCTGAAAACACACAATGTCAATTTTCCCATAGTTACAAGTACACCCAGATTTAAGGCAAAGGAACAAAGACTTTACTTCACAATGAAAGGAGTTTAAAGACATCATTGAAAGAAGATCATGGGAGATAGGAAATATTATTATGGCCATTTTGGAAAACATAGTGTACCACACTATCCAAAACTAGGGTGCTCTTTTCATTTATTTAAGTCTTCTGTTGTCTCTCTCCATAGATTTTTAGATTTTGTTTATAGAGTTTAGGTACACTTTATTTTCTTTTTAAAATTTTTAGGAAACTTTTAAGTTCAGGGGTACATGTGCAGGATGTGCAGGTTTGTTACATGGGTAAATGTATTATGGAGGTTTGTTGTACAGATTAGTTAATCACTCAGATATTAGGCCTAGTATGAATTAGTTATTTTTCTTGATTCTTTCCCTCCCCGCACCCTCTGCCCTGTGGTAGGCCCCAATGTGCATTGTTCCCCTCTATGTGTCCATGTGTTATCATCATTTGGCTTCCACTTATGAGTGAGAACATGTAGCATAGAGCATGTGCTAAGGATAGTGGCCTTCAGCTCCATCCATGTCCCTTTAAAGGACATGATCTCATTCCTTTTTATGGCTGTATAGTATTCCATTATGTTTATGTACCACATTTTTGTTATCCAGTCTACCATTATCGGGCATTTAGGTTGATTTCATGTCTTTGCTATTGTGAATAGTGTTGCAAAAAAAGTATGTGTGCATGTGTCTTTATAATAGAACAATTTATATTCTTCTCGGTATATACCCCGTAATGAGATTTCTGGGTTGAATGATATTTCTGTCTCTAGGTCTTTGAGGAATTGCCACATGGTCTTCCACAATGATTTAACTAATTTACACTCCCACCAACAGTGTAAAAGTGTTCCTTTTTCTCCACAACCTTGCCAGCATCTGTTGTTTTTTGATTTTTTAATATATAATTATAGCCATTCTGATGGGTGTAAAATGATATCTCATAGTGTTTTTGATTTGTATTTCTCTAATAATCAGTGATGTTGAACTTTTTTTTCATGTGATTGTTGGCTGCACAGATGTTTTCTTTTCAGAAGTGCCTGTTCATGTCCTTTGCCCACTTTTAAATGGGTTTATTTGTTTTTGTGTGTGTGTAAATTTGTTTAAGTTCCTTATAGATGTTGGATATTAGACCTTTGTCAGATACAAAGTTTGCAAAAATTTTCTCCTATACTGTAGTTGTCTGTTTACTCTGTTTAGATAGTTTCTTTAGCTATGCAGAAGTTCTTTAGTTTACATAGATCCCATTTGTCAATTTTTGCTTTTGTTGCATTTGCTTTTAGTGTCTGCATCATGAAATCTTTGCCCGTACCTATGTCCAGAATGGTATTGTCTAGATTTTCTTCTAAGGTTTTCATAGTTTTGCGTTTTACATTTAAGTCTTTAATCCATCTTGAGTTGATTTTTATATATGGTGTAAGGAAGGGGTCCAGTTTCAATTTTCTGCATCTGGCTAGCCAGTTCTCCCAGTATCATTTATTAAATAGAAAATCTTTTCCTCATTGCTTGTATTTGTCAGGTTTGTCAACAATCAGATAGTTATAGGTGTACAGTTTTATTTCTGGGTTCTCCATTCTGTTCCATTGGTCTATGTGTCTGTTCTTATACCAGTACCATGCTGTTTTGGAAACCATAGCCCTGTAGTATAGTTTGAAGTCAGGCAGCGTGATTCTTACAGGGAATATTTAAATGATTATTGAGAGTTATGATGTCTTATTTGGTGCTATTGTAAAGAGAACATTTTCTTTAATTGCATTTCCTAACTGATTATTGCTTGTACAGAAAAGCTGAAGTATTCATGTGCTAATTTTGTAGCCATTCACAATAGTAAATGTCCTGGGGAAGTATCAATTTGAAAATTGCTCAGTTACCAGGTCTTAATGTGTTTGTGGTAAATTTTTACTGTCTTGTGACAAAGTTTCAACAGTTCAGCCAAGCCCAAAAGATGACAGAAATAGAGAACATTTCTTTTATTGTATCATTCACCAAAAGTGTCTCTGATTCAAGCTTTGCAAATCTACTTTATCTTTATATAAACCAAAGATACATATGCTTTGTTATAGATATATGCTATGCTTTGTAAAGACATATACTTTAAAAAGATGTGCTGTGAACATGATGGAAGAAATAATTTTGCTTACGAATTTTTTAGGGAATGTGCCTTTCAAAGCCTGCATTTTATAAAATATATGGAAGAGTTTGAAGTTGGCAATTTATTTTAATGAAGCCATAAAGCTAGATTGTAAAACAATGCTGAAGTTTCATATTGAACAGATTCCATAGATCAAGACCTTTTTGAAATTAAAGGACAGTTTGAGACTCAACTTGTTGAGTTGTTCTGACTCAAAAACTATACTTCTTTACTGATAAAACTATAATTCTTACTGGACAAAGTAAACCTGAAAGCACAACACTACTCTCAATCTACAAAGAAGTAAGGGTGTTCAGGTTCCAAACGAACCAATAAAGCAAATATCAACTTTTATTCTTCACTGCTAAAAAACTCTAAGCTCAATGGAATCACACATATGGACGGATTGCAGAGTGTATTAGTCAGGGTTCTTCAGAGGGACTGAACTAATAGAATACACACACACACACACACACACACACACACACACACACACACACACACACATATATATATATGGGAGTTTATTAAGGAGAACTGACTCACACGATCACAAGGTGAAGTCCCATGATAGGTCATCTGCAAACTGAAGAGGTAGGAAGCCAGTAGTGACTTGGTCCAAAAGCCTTAAAAGTAGAAAGCCAACAATGCAGCCTTCTGTCTGTGGCTGAAGGCCTGAGAACCCCGGCAAACTGCTGGTGTAATTCCAAAAGTCCAAAGATCGAAGAACCTGGAGTCTGATATTCAAAATAAGGAAGTATTCAGCGTGGGAGAAAAATGAAAGCCAGAAGACTCAGCAAGCCAACTTATCTCACCTTCTTCTGCCTGCTTTGTTCTAGCCTGGCTGCAGCTGATTGGATGATGCCCACCTGCATTAATGGTGGGTCTTTCTCTTGCAGTCCAGCAACTCAAATGTTCATCTTTTCTGACAACACCCTCGCAGACACACCCAGAAACAATAGTTTACCAGCTATCTAGGCATCCTTCAATCCAGTCAAATTGACACTTAGTATTAACCACTGCACAGAATTACTTACAGGAAATGAAATCACAAATTTAAAAGTAAAAATGTGTAAACAAATATAGCTATGGCTGCCTTTGGAGTGCAAGCTTCAGGATGTTTCTAAAATATGCCTTGGCTTTGTGGTTAGCACTTACAACTAATATATTATATATATATATATATATATATATATATATTGCTTATTTATTTTGTTTATTGCTATCTTCCATTTTAACATTAGCTCAATGATTTTCATCTGATTTTTAAGAATTCTATATTCTCAGTACCAGATAGTACCTAGCATTCAATATGTATTTACTGACTGAATAATTCCATAGACAAATGAGATTTAGTATCAAGACAAGGTGTTTGAACTGAGACTGAAGTATCCACAACATATTATCTGTTGTTCTTTGGCTGGGAGTATTGTGAGCTTTAAAGTTGTAATTCTACTAGATTCTGTGAAAGAAAATGTTCTTTCACAAAATGAACTGAAGGTGAGAGTCACCATTAGTTGTGAAAATTTCGAGTTAGAATCGATGTATCTCAATTGAAAAAAAAAAAAAAACCTGGAAAGAAATAGACCAGCATTGACAGTAAAATGCATTGCATGATTTTTTAAATGCTTCTTTTTACTTTTCTGTATTTTACAAATTTTCAACAACAAAGATGAATTACTTTTGGAGGGAGAAAAAAACTAAAAAGAAGTGAAAAACTATTGTGCCATTAAATTTGTTGTTGCTGTTGTTGTTTTGTGTTTTTTTGAGACAGGGCCTTGCTCTGGCCCCCAAGCTGGAGTGCAGTGGTACAATCATGGCTCACAATATCCTTGAACTCCCAGCTCAAGTGATCCTCCCACCTCAGCCCCCAGAGTATCTAGGGCTATAGGCATGTGTCACCATGCCCAGCTAATTTTTTTTTATTTTTTTATTTTTTTATTTAGAGATGGGGTCTCACTGTGTTGCCTAGGCTGGTCTTGAGTGCCAGGCCTCAACTGACCCCCTCCCTTATCATACAAAAGCATGGGGATTGCAGGCATGGGCCACCACACCTGGCTCCATTAAGTTTGTTAAAAATCAGCATCTTACCAATAATTAATATCAGAGTATATGAATTAAAAGATGAATGGCTGCACACTTAGGCACCAATAAAATCAAACTATGTTTTCTTCTGATTTGGGTATAACTACTTAAAAAAATCTATATTTGAATGAATGACATATTCTTCTTTTGTTATTAACAGTGGTTCCATGGCATCCCATCCACATACGGATTTTTCTTTTCTTTTTTAAAAAAGTATAGAGATGGGATTTCATTATACTGCCCAGGCTGTCTTGAA